GAGCCTGCTTGGGATTCTGTCTCTCCCTCTCTCTGCCCTTCCCCAACTCGCAAGCACGCGCATTCTCTCTCTCTCAAAACAAATAAAGAAACTTAAAAAAAAAACAAAACAAAACAGTATGAAAACTCTCTTTACAGAGAGGGGACATTCGAAGGTGAATACCTGTGGCTGTAGGCAAGGGACCTTGTTTTATAAGGTTTTGGTCACCCCCTCCTTCCTTTCCCCCTTGTTCCTTCTTTTCAGTTTCTGCCCTTATTGGCTTGATAACTCTAAATACCTAGTCATTCCTTGTTGATTGGCTCGTTTCCTTTGTTTAAGGGGTGGTCTGTGGCCCAAACCAGGAGCTTTCAAATAATGTTTTCAGCTTTCTCCAACAAACCAGGAGATCTGGCTTTCCCCACATGGGAATACTTAGCCGGAGCTGAGTGGCTGAGAGCGGCCCTTTTTATTTTTGTTATGTTTATTTTTATTTTTTGAGAGAGCAAGAGAGAGAGAGAGAGTGCAAGTGAGTGAGGGTGGAGACAGAGTGAGAGACAGAATCCCACGAGGGACAGAGAGAGAGAGAGAGGGAGAGAGAGAGAGAGAGACAGAGTCTGGCTCACCCTGAAGCCGGGCTCGAGCTCACCCAATGCGGACTCGAACTCCTGAACAGTGAGATCATGACCTGAGCTGAAGTCAAAAAGCTTAATCGACAGCCACCCGGGCGTCCTGAGAGCTGCCTTTTTTAGATAGTTAGAACAGTTGTTCTCCACGTTACCTCAAATCCCACCACCCCCCAAGTACCCAAGAATACAATGTTAGGCCACTGTAAGTAACTGCCAGGAAGTCTGTCTTTCTTCAAAACCAATAGTCATTACCTTGTTGGGAAGATAAGGAATAACGGGAACAAGGTTGATTTCCAGTGTATGATCAGAGCATCAGTTTAGAACCTTATGTAGGCTAATGCATTCAACCCTCACAACATACCTAAAACACGAGTATTAGTAACCCTGTTTTAGAAGTTAGGAAACTGAGGCAAAGGAATATTAATGTTTTATTTATGTTAGAGAGAGAAAGAGACAGAGTGTGAGCAGGGGAGGGGCAGAG